GTGCAGGGGAACTCCCGTTTATAAAACCATCAGGTCTCATGAGATGCAGTCACTACCGTGAGAACAGTATGGGGGTGAAACCACTCCCGTAATTTGTTTATCTCCACCTTGCCCTGCCCTTGACACGTGGGGATGATTACAATTTAAGGTGAGATTGGGATACAGGCAAACCATATCATCTGGCCAGGTGTGGTATCTCATGCCTGTAATCCCAGCACTCTGCGAGGCCACTGAGGTCAGGAGTTCGAGACTACCCTAACATGGAAAAACCCCATCTCTACTTAAAATACAAAATTAGCTGAGCATGATGGTGCATGCCTGTAATCCCAGCTACTCAGGAGGCTGAGGCAGGGGGGGTCACTTGACCCTGGAAGGTGGAGGTTGCGATGAGCCAAGATCATGCCATTGCACTCCAACCTGGGCAGCAAGAGTGAAACTCCGTCTAAAAAAAAAAAAAATTGTATCGTTTGCCTTTTGGCGTCACCTGAAGTGGTAACAGGCACAGTGGAGCCGTGGAAGATACTCACAAACTACCCCACCCAATGCCTGCGCGTGGTAGTGCTTAATAACTGGTAGCTTTTGTTCTCGGTAATGATATAAATACGTCATTCCTTACTCTGCAGGCATGGCTGAGCGTCAGTGCCCAGCCAGGGCCCTGGCCAGAATTGGTACCACCTAACCACATGTTGATAAGAGATTGGAAGCTTGTGGTCGGAACCTGGAAAAAGCAGGTGGGGAGCCTGCAAAGAAAGAAAGAAAAAGATGTTGGCCGGGCACGTGGCTCACACTGTAATCTCAGCACTTCGGGAGGTTGAGGCTGGTGGATCACCTGAGGTTAGGAGTTCAAGACAAGCCTGGCCAACGTCGAGAAACCACACCTCCACTAAAAATACAAAACTAGCTGGGCATCAAGGCAGGCGCCTGTAATCCCAGCCACTCGGGAGGCCGAGGCAGGAGAATCACTTGAACCCAGGTTGCAGAGGTTGCAGTGAGCCGAGATCATGCCATTGCACTCCAACCTGGGTAACAGAGGGAGACTCTGTCTCAAAAAAAACAAATGTGTTGAGTTTTTTCAGAAGATTAGAGCTCTGTTTCTATCTTCCTTGGCATCCCTTTTACCAAGAAACTTTATTGTGATTTCTGCACATGAGGCTAGCTACCTGGTATAAGAAAGGAAGGTATCGAGGCCGGGCGCGGTGGCTCAAGCCTGTAATCCCAGCACTTTGGGAGGCCGAGGCGGGTGGATCACAAGGTCGAGAGATCGAGACCATCCTGGTCAACATGGTGAAACCCCGTCTCTACTAAAAATACAAAAAAAATCAGCTGGGCATGGTGGTGCGTGCCTGTAATCCCAGCTACTCAGGAGGCTGAGGCAGGAGAATTGCCTGAACCCAGGAGGCGGAGGTTGCAGTGAGCCGAGATCGCGCCATTGCACTCCAGCCTGGGTAACGAGCGAAACTCCGTCTCAAAAAAAAAAAAAAGAAAAGAAAAGAAAGGAAGGTATCAGGAGTGTGACGTTTCCTCCTATTTCTGCATGTGATCATAAGGAATTTATGGTATAATTGGAGGAAGCTGAATCCAAGAATAAGGATTCAGTTTATTTTAATGCCATGATATTGTTAGGTAAAATGACTACGGAGTATGAGACAACATTTGGTAGCCATTCATCAATAACTAATGTCGGGGCCGGGCGCGGTGGCTCAAGCCTGTAATCCCAGCACTTTGGGAGGCCGAGGCGGGCGGATCACAAGGTCAAGAGATCGAGACCATCCTGGTCAACATGGTGAAACCCCGTCTCTACTAAAAATACAAAAAATTAGCTGGGCATGGTGGCGCGTGCCTGTAATCCCAGCTACTCGGGAGGCTGAGGCAGGAGAATTGCCTGAACCCAGGGGGCAGAGATTGCGGTGAGCTGAGGTCGCGCCATTGCACTCCAGCCTGGGTAACAAGAGCGAAACTCCGTCTCACAAAAAAAAAAAAAAAAAAAAAATAACTAATGTCAAGGAAATGGCCGGAAGTGCTTTGAGAGTCTCAGCTTCTTAAATCTCAGTCGGCTCAGTTGATCTGTCAAGACTCTTGCAGCTGACACATATCTTTCTTTCATTATTTTTTCTTGGTTAATAAAATCAAGAGTTTTGCTCAGGGAAGGTGATCATATCCCCAACTCAGGAGTAAATCCTAATTAGCCTAAGCCAGTTTGATACGCTCATTCCCGTTGCCAGTCTTTTTTTTTTTTTTTTGAGATGAAGTTTCACTCTTTTTGCCCAGGCTGGAGTGCAATGGCATGATCTTGGCTCATTGCAGCATCTGCCTCCTGGGTTCAAGCAATTCTTCTGCCTCAGCCTCCTGAGTATCTGGGATTACAGGCACGTGCCACCATGCCCAGCTAATTTTTTTTTTTTTTGTATATTTAGTAGAGACGGGGTTTCACCATGTTGACCAGGATGGTCTCGATCTCTTGACCTCGTGATCCACCCTCCTTGGCCTCCCAAAGTGCTGGGATTACAGGCGTGAGCCACCGCACCCAGCTGAGTCTGGTTCTTAACACAGGCTCGTAACCCTGAGCCTCAGCCTCCTCACTGGTGAAGCGGGGATGATGATGATGATAATAGTGAATGTCTCTTGAGTGTTTTTTTTTTTTTTTTGAGACAGGTCTCAGTCTGTCCCTCAGGTGGGAGTGCAGTGGTGCCGTCATGGCTCACAGCAGTTTAACCTCCCAGGTTCAAGTGATCCCCCCGCTTCAGCTTCCCGAGTAGCTGGGACTGTTGGTGCATGTCACCGTGCCCAGCTAATTTTTGTACCTTTTTTTTTTTTTTTTTTTTTTGAGACGGAGTTTCACCCTTGTTACCCAGGCTGGAGTGCAATGGCGCGATCTCGGCTCACCACAACCTCCGCCTCCTGGGTTCAGGCAATTCTCCTGCCTCAACCTCCTGAGTAGCTGGGATTACAGGCACACGCCACCATGCCCAGCTAATTTTTTGCATTTTTAGTAGAGACGGGGTTTCACCATGTTGACCAGGATGGTCTCGATCTCTCGACCTCGTGATCCACCCGCCTCAGCCTCCCAAAGTGCTGGGATTACAGGCTTGAGCCACCGCGCCCGGCTAATTTTTGTACCTTTTTTGTAGGGACGGGGTTTTGCCCTGTTAGCCAGGCTGTTCTTACACTCTTGGGCTCAAGTGATCCGCCTGCCTCAGCCTCTCCAAGTACTGGGGTTACAGGCGTGAGTCAGTGCGCCTGGCCCCTCTTGAGTGCCTCTGTGCTCCAGGGGCTGTTCGGTGCTTTACGTGTGATCACTCATTTAACCCTGACTGTAGCCCGTAAGCTGGACACTACTCTTTTTTTCTTTCCGTGAGATGGAGTCTTGCTCTGTCGCCCAGGCTGGGGTGCAGTGGTGTGATCTCGGCTCACTGCAACCCCTGCCTTCTGGGTTCCAGCGATTTTCCTGCCTCAGCCTCCCGAGAGCTGGGATTATAGGCACGCACCACCACGCCCTGCTAATTTTTTGTATTTTTAGTGGAAGCAGGGGTTCCATCATGTTGGCCAGGCTGGTCTGGAACTCCTGACCTCGTTCGTGATCCACCTGCCTTTGTCTCCCAAAGTGCTGGGATTGCAGATGTGAGCCACCACACTAGATACGATTCTTATTGCTGTTTACACAAGGAAATGGAGATTCAGAGAGGTTAAGTACCTTGCCCAAAGTCACACAGCCAGTGAGTGGCGGAGCTAAGCCTCAAACCTGAGCTGCGGAGCCCGTACGCTATTACCGTCCCTCCGTCCTACCTCTGTGACGCTCCTGGCCTTACCAGCAGGGCACTGTGTGGTGCCATCACGGGAATGCCTTCTTCCTTTTCCCGAGGCCAGTTAGAGCCAGGTCTCTGTCTCCATATCCCACGCCTTTCTGCACCATCAAGTTGCCCCCAAAGTGGAGCCCTTGCCAGTCCCTGGAGGAGATGCCGCCATTCAGAATCGGCCTTCAAGGCTCATAGGCCCCTTGGCTTTGAGGCCGAGTTTTGCCTGGAACCCCTTCTTCGGGTGAAACTGTGGAAGTGTACCGAGGCATACTGCCTTTGTTGTTTAAAATAACGCTCTGTCTTTTGCTGTCATGCTGGGTGGGAGCTGCTGACTGGTGTGACTGTAAGATTGTCTTTTTTTTTTTTTTTTTGAGATAGAGTCTCACTGTGTCACCCAGGTTCGAGTACATGATCTTGGCTCACTGCAACTTCCACCTCCTGGGTTCAAGTGATTCTCCCGCCTCAGCCTGAGTAGCTGGGATTACAGGTGCCCACCACCACACCCGGCTAGTTTTTGTATTTTTAGTCAGCATGTTGGTCACACTGGTCTTGATCTTGTGACCTCAGGCAATCCACCCACTTTGGCCTCCCATAGTGCTGGGATTACATGTGTGAGCTGCCACACCCAGCCCAGATAAACACTTACAGTCACTCTGTCGTTCCAGAGGGGTGGCTTGAAGTAGGGAGACAGGCAGTGCCTGGAGGGACGTGGGTCAGGTATGCCAACCCCCATTCGCCCATTGGAAGCTGGCTCCAGGGTCCCCTTCTCAGGGCGGTCTTCCCCAGCTGCCCTGCCTCTGGCTCTCGGAGCCCCCTGTGCCCCTCCTTTGTGGCTCCTGGCACAAGTGTAGTTGAACACTCCTGGGTGATGACTTGATGGCTGCCTGTCTCTCCCACCAGACCAGGGTTTCTCAGCCTTGGCACAGTTGACATTTGGGGTGGATAATTGGCTGAGAGGGGTCACCTGTGCAAGTCGAATGTTGAGTGGCATCCCTGGCCCAGACAAGCCTGATGCCAGAAGCATCCTCCAGTCGAGACAACCAGACTGTCTGTCTCTACCCATGCCCGGTGTGCCCTGGGAGATGAAATCGCCCCTGGCTGGGGTGGGGGAACATAGGTCATTTTGTGTGCTGTTTAAAGGATTCCTGGGTTTAAAGGGAAGTGAGTCATTGATGTTTGTAGCTCTAATATGTTGATCTCTTCCAGGATTATGGCAGGAAAAGTAAAATGGGTCACTGATATCGAGAAGTCAGTGCTGATCAATAACTTTGAGAAGAGAGGATGGGTCCAAGTGACAGAAAACGAGGATTGGAATTTTTACTGGTGAGCATACGAAGCGGGGCTGGGTGGCTGCTCGGAGCCTCGGGTATCGGTTTTATTCGCTCCAGCGCCTCGGGGCTGACCTCAGAGCCAGCATCTCCTGTCGCACTGTCTCCCAGCACTCGTGTTTCTTTAGGACTCTCTGAGAGTGGGTGTGATGGTGTGTTCCCACCTCGCTGTGTGCAGCCTGTGCTGTGAAGCCCAGGGTGTTTCAGTGCAGCTAATGTGAGTAACCCTGTGGGGAACGTGGGTGAGAAACAAGAGCCTCTGCCCTCCCCTTCCAGTGAGCGTGTGTTACAGCTGGCCCGGAGGACAGGGAAGAAGGCTTGGTGCACCTTTTTTTTTCAAGACAAAGTCTTGCTCTGTGACCCAATCTGGAATGCAATGGTGAGATCTCAACTCACTTCAACCTCCACTTCCTGAGTTCAAGCAATTCTCCTGCCTCAGCCCCCCGAGTACCTGAGATTACAGATGCACACCAACATACCTGGCTAATTTTTTGTATTTTTAGTAGAGATGGGGTGTCACCATGTTGGTCAGGCTGGTCTCGAACTCCTGACCTTGTGATCCACCCACCTTGGCCTCCCAAAGTGCTGGGATTACAGGCTTGAGCCACTGCACCCAGCTACTTATTTTTTTTTTTTAACACGTGTGTTTTCTGGAGACTGGGTCTCACTCTGTTGCCCAGGCTGGAGTGCCGTGGTGTGATCATACCTCCTGCAGCCTTGCTCTTCTGAGCCCAAGCTGTCCTCCCACCTCAGCCTCCTGAGTTTCTAGGACCGCAGGCACGCGCTGCCACACCCACCTAACTTTTTAAATTATTTGTAGAGTCAGGGTTTCACCGTGTTGTCCAGGCTGGTCTCCAACTCCTGGCTTCAAGCAATCCTCCTGCTCCAGCCTCAGAATGTTGGGATCACAGGTGCGAGCCACCACACCTGTCCAGGTGCCTGCCTTCTTTTGCTTCCCTGTCCTATGCCAAGAGGGTGCTAGTCAGACTGGCTGACACACAGCAATAGAAAAGTGAGTCAGGCCAGGCACAATGGCTCATGCCTGTAATCCTAGCACTTTGGGAGGCTGAGGCAGGTGAATCACCTGATGTCAGGAGTTCGAGACCAGCCTGGCCAACATGGTGAAACCCCGTCTCTACTAAAAATATAAAAATTAGCTGGGCGTGGTGCTGCATGCCTGTAATCCCAGCTTCTTGGGAAGCATAGGCAGGAGAATTGCTTGAACCTCGGAGATGGAGGTTGCAGTGAGCTGAGATCATGCCACTGCACTCCGCCTGGGCAACAGAGTGAGGCTCCGTCTCAAAAAAAAGAAAGGTGAGTTAAACTGGCTGGGCATGGTGGCTCAAGCCTGTAATCCCAGCACTTTGGGAGGCCAAGGCAGGCGGATCACCTGAGGTCAGGAGTTGGAGACCAGCCTGGCCAACATGGTGAAACCCCATGTCTACTAAAAATAGAAAAAGTAGCTGGGCATGGTGATGTGCCTGTAACCCTAGCTACTTGGGAGGCTGAGGCAGGAGAATTGCTTGAACCCGGGAGGCAGAAGTTGCAGTGAGCCACTGTGCTCCAGCCTGGGTGACAGAGCAAGACTGTGCCTCAAAAATAAAATGGAAAGGGAGTTAGGCTAGGACAAGAAAAGCAGCGTTCTGACCGGGAGCAGTGGCTCACGCCTGTAATCCCGTCACTGGGAGGCTGAGGCAGGCAGAGCACGAGGTCAGGAGAGATCAGCCTGGCCAACATAGTGAAACCCCGTCTCTACTAAAAATGCAAAAAAATTAAATTAGCTGGGTGTGGTTGCTCACACATGTGATGCCAGCACTTTGGGAGGCTGAGGCAGGCGGATCACAAGGTCAGGAGTTTGAGCCCAGCCAGGCCGACGTGGGGAAACCCTGTCGCTGCTAAAAATACACAAATTAGCCGGGTATGCTTGCGCACGCCTGTAGTACCAGCTACTCAGGAGGCTGACGCAGGAGAATTGCTTGAACCCGGGACGCAGAGGTTGCAGTGAACCAAGATCGCGCCATTGCATTCCAGTTTGGGCACAGAGCGAAACTTCGTATAAAAAAAAACCAAAAACACCAAAGTGCTGGATTACAGACGTGAGCCTCTGCGCCTGGCCAGCTCTTTATTTTGAAAACTGATGAAAGAATCAAGCAGTGATTCTGTTTTGTGTATGAACCATTCTTAGGGCTTCTGTATTGTTGATGAAGGGGAGCTTGTCTCTAGAAGTATTCCTGCTGTTGCATGGTCGGTGGCTTACGCTTGTAATCCCAGCGCTTGGGATGCCTAGGCGGAGGATGAGTTGAGTCGAGGAGTTTGAGACCAGCCTGGGCAACATGGCAAAACGCCATCTCTACAAAAAAAGTTACAAAAATTTAGCTAGACACAGTGGCGCCTTCCTATAGTCCTAGTTACTTGGGAGGCTGAGGTAGGAGGATCACTTGAGCCTGGGAGGCAGAGGTTGCAGTGAGCCAAGATCAAGCCATGACACTCCGGCCTGGGTGACAGAGCGAGACCCTGTCTCAAAAATAAGTAAATACATAAATACTGCTTTTTTAGTTCTGATAATTGTATAAAATAGGATGTCACATAATAGAATATGGAGTCTTGAACTGTTAGAGAATCTTACAGAAATGTTTTGGATGGGCCGGGCACGGTGGCTCACGCCTGTAGGCCCAGCACTTTGGGAGGCCGAGGCGGGTGGATCACGAGGTCAACAGATCGAGACCATCCTGGTCAACATGGTGAAACCCCGTCTCTACTAAAAATAAAAAAAATTAGCTGGGCATGGTGGTGCATGCCTGTGGTTCTAGCTACTGTGGAGGCCAGGGTGGGAGAATCACTTGAGCCCAAGAGGTCGAGGCTGCAGTGAGCTGTGATCATGCCACTGCACTCCAGCCTGGGTGACAGAGCAAGACTCTGTCTCAAAAAGTTTAAACAAAAAAAAAGGGCCGGGCACGGTGGCTCACGCCTGTAATCCCAGCACTTTGGGAGGCTGAGGCGGGTGGATCACGAGGTCGAGAGATCGAGACCATCCTGGTCATCGTGGTTAAACCCCGTCTCTACTAAAAATAAAAAAAAAATTAGCTGGCCGTGGTGGCGTGTGCCTGTAATCCCAGCTACTCAGGAGGCTGAGGCAGGAGAATTGCCTGATCCCAGGAGGCGGAGGTTGTGGTGAGCCGAGATCGCGCCATTGCACTCCAGCCTGGGCAACAAGAGCGAAACTCCGTCTCAAAAAAAAAAATATATATATATATATAAAAAAAAAATATATATATATATTTTATATATATATATAAAATATATATATATATTTTATATATATATAAAAATATATATATATATTTTATATATATATAAAATAAATATATATATATTTTATATATATATAAAATAAATATATATATATATTTTATATATATATAAAAATATATATATATTTTATGTATATATAAATATATATATATTTTTTATATATATATAAAAAATATATTTATATATATATATAAAAATATATATATATTTTTTATATAAATATATATATTTACATCTAAATATATATATATAAATATATATATTTATATGTAAATATATATATTTATATAAAATTAGCTGGGCATGGTGGCGCGTGCCTGTAATCCCAGCTACTCAGGAGGCTGAGGCAGGAGAATTGCCTGAACCCAGGAGGCGGAGGTTGCCGTGAGCCGAGATCACGCCATTGCACTCCAGCCTGGGTAACAAGAGCATAACTGTCTCTAAATAAATAAATAACTTAAATTAAAAAGTAAAAAAATAAAGGGTCCTTGACTTTCCTGAACTTGGGTGCAGATACTGTTTAAATGAGTTTCCCGACTTCAGAGTCTGAAAAGGGTATATATTTTATTTGTTGACAATGTTATTATTAATGTTATCACTAATCAGTAAACATTTATTGAGCTCCTGCTCCTGGCCAGAGAGGGAGGCCAGGGCACAGACTCAGCACAGCTCCTGGCCCTCACACAGCGTGGGTCCCAGCCTGTCCTTGGGCCTGCATTCTGTGCTGCTGTGGGCCGGGCCGCCCCTGGCTCAGGTGCCAGGGGATATGGGGACAGTGGGGAAGGCTGCTGAGGGCTCTGGATGTTTGCGGGGATGGAAACAAGGACTCCTGCCCACAGAACTCACCACCGAGCGTCTGTCCTGCTCGTCTCTTACAGGATGAGCGTGCAAACCATCCGAAATGTGTTCAGTGTCGAAACCGGATATCGGCTCTCAGACGATCAGATAGTCAACCATTTTCCAAACCACTATGAACTGACCCGGAAGGATCTGATGGTGAAGAACATCAAAAGATACAGGAAGGAGCTAGAGAAAGAAGGGAGTCCTCTGGCAGAAAAAGATGAAAATGGAAAATACCTCTATCTGGGTTGGTGCCTTTTCCCGGCTCCTGTTTTCATTTAACAGCTGAATGTTTTATTCAGGGCTCGAGGCGCCGCGGTGGTGACTGCTGGCTTTGGCACACCAGCATGTCCACGCGGGTGTCATTTCAGGTGTCTCCAGAACGAAGGAGCAGGAGGTGTTTGAGTCTGGCATCTGAGTTTCTGCGAGTGCCTTGGGAATTGCCTGGCATGGGCTTTGTGCAAGCCAGAGAATGCCCTCAGTGTTCAGCCTAGGGAAACATTTCTTGAGCCACAGGCTGCCACGAGGGCTCATGACTGTCTGACTGGCTCTACCCAGGGAAGACACTGTGCCCCTGTCCAGCCCGGGGATAAAAGCTGGACTGAATAGTTTCAGATTCCTTCACAAACCTGGGCAGAATTTGATAACTGACCTCCCTGGGCCTCAGTTTCATCTGCTAAATGGGAATTATTATACGGTTTACAGTAGCTCGCAGGTGGCCGTGGGGATTGAAAAATACAGGTTTCGGCCGGGTGTGGTGGCTCACACGTGCAATCCCAGCACTTTGGGGGGCCAAGGCAGGCGGATCATGAGGTCAAGAGATCGAGACCGTGGGCCGGGCGTGGTGGCTCATGCCTGTAATCCAAGCACTTTGGAGGCCAAGGTGGGAAGATCACCTCAGGTCAGGAGTTCAAGACCAGCCTGACCAACATGGTGAAACTTTGTCTTTATAAAAATAAAAAATAAAAAAAAACATCAAGACCATCCTGGCCAACATGGTAAAACCCCGTCTCTACTAAAAATACAAAAATTAGCTGGGCATGCTGGCACGCACGTATAATCCCAGCTACTTGGGAGGCTGAGACAGGAGAATCACTTGAACCCAGGAGGCGGAGGTTGCAGTGAGCCGAGATCATGCCACTGCACTCCAGCCTGGGCAACAGAGCAAGACTCCATCTCAAAAAAAAAAAAATGCAGGTTTGTAAGGTGCTTAGACAGGCTCCGTGAATGTAGGTTGTGTCGCCCAGGGACTGCGCAGCAGAGGCCCTGGTTCTGTTAGCTGCCGGGCCGGGGCGGGGAGCACTGAGTCTGAAGGCCCTGGAAAGGCAGGGGCAAGACCTTTCTGTTGGTGGCCGCTGTTGGGCTGCCCCTTATACCACCGCTGGGTGCCTTTGCCTTGCAGACTTTGTTCCGGTCACCTACATGCTGCCCGCTGACTATAACCTGTTTGTGGAAGAGTTCCGGAAGAGCCCGTCGAGCACCTGGATCATGAAGCCTTGTGGCAAAGCCCAGGGAAAGGGCATCTTCCTCATTAACAAGCTCTCACAGATCAAAAAGTGGTCCCGGGACAGCAAGACGTCTTCGTAAGTGTGGGCAGCTACCCGCTCTGCGTGCCAGGTCCCAGCTCACCGTTTTATGCTGTTCCGCAGTCTGTGGGATGGTTGTGGTTGTTTTTTTTTTTTTCTTTGAGACAGAATTTTGCCCTGTCGCCAGGCTAGAATGCAGTGGTGCAATCTCGACTCACTGTAACCTCCGCCTCCCGGGTCCAAGCGAGTCTTCTGTCTCAACCTCCTGAGCAGCTGGGACTACAGGCCTGTGCCACCATGCCCGGCTAATTTTTGTATTTTTAGTAGAGATGGGGTTTCACCATGTTGGCCAGGATGGTCTTGATCTCTTGACCTCATGTTCTGCCCACCGTGGCCTCCCAAAGTGCTGGGATTACAGGTATGAGCCACTGCACCTGACTGTGGGGTTTTTTTGTTTGTTTGACAGACTTTTGCTCTGTTGCCAGGTTAGAATGCAGTGGTGCAATCTCAGTTCACTGCAACCTTTGCCTCCTGGGTTCAAGCGATTCTCCTGCTTCAGCCTCCTGAGTAGCTGGGATTGCAGGCATGCACCACCATGCCCAGCTAATTTTTTTTTTTTTTTCTTTTTTCCTTTTTTTTTGAGATGGAGTTTCGCTCTTGTTACCCAGGCTGGAGTGCAATGGCGCGATCTCGGCTCACCGCAACCTCCGCCTCCTGGGTTCAGGCAATTCTCCTGCCTCAGCCTCCTGAGTCACTGGGATTACAGGCACGTGCCACCATGCCCAGCTAATTTTTTGTATTTTTTAGTAGAGATGGGGTTTCACCATGTTGACCAGGATGGTCTTGATCTCTTGACCTCATGATCCACCCGCCTCGGCCTCCCAAAGTGCTGGGATTACAGGCTTGAGCCACCGCGTCCGGCCTTTTTTTTTTTTTTTTTTTTTTTTAATAGAGATGGAGTTTTGCAGCCGGGCACAGTGGCTCACATCAGTAATTTCAGCACGTTGGGAGGCCGAGGTGGGTGGATCATGCTGTCAGGAGTTCAAGACTAGCCTGGCAAAGATGGTGAAACCCCGTCTCTACTAAAAATACATAAGAAATTTAGGTGGGTGCGATGGCAGGTGCCCGTAATCCCAGCTATGTGGGAGGCTGAGGCAGGAGAGTCCCTTGAACTCTGCGGGGGCAGAGGTTGCAGTGAGCTGAGTTCACACCACTGCACTGCAGCCTGGGTGACAGAGTGAGACTCCGTCTCGAAAAAAACAAGAGAGAGAAGACTTTGCCCTGTTGGTCAGGCGTGTCTCGAACCCCTGACCTCAGGGTGATCCGCCTGCCTACGCCTCCCAAAGTGCTGGGATTACAGGCGTGAGCCACGGCACCCGGCCTGTTCTTCGGTCTTTGGCCACGAGCCAGGCAGCCCATGCTAGGTTTTGCGGGTGTGTGTCGTCTGCCACGTGGTGTCACGGCGGGGCTCTGTGGCTGTCTTGGGGTGATTAGTCCCAGACTGCCTGAGGCAGGCCGTGAGGAAGACGGTGTAGGTGATGGGCCAGGGCCTGCAGCCGCTCTTTGATGACAGGTTGGTGTGAGAACCGCTCAATCGTGGTGGTTCTTGAGGCGGCGAGACACCGACCTCCATCCCGGGACTGGAGGCCCTGAGGTCCTGGGTTGGAGGCCCAGTCTGACACGCACTGGCTCTGTGTATTTTCTTCGCAGTCTCCCTGTCTTACATTCTCCATCCGAGAAAAACGGGGGCACCAGCAGCTCCACCGCCGGGGGCTTGTGGTGGGGGTGGAGCGAGTTGACACACGTGAAGCCTGAGCATTGGAAGGGGCCGGCGGTGGCCCGTGCTCTGGGCCACAGGGCCTGGGTCTGCTGGCTCTTCTCAGCTGCTCAGAAGTGTCTGGGGGCCACCAGGGCAAAGCTTCCGTCTGATCCTTTTCCAGTGGGGAGAGGACTCACTTGTCAGAGTTCCCAGGGTAACAGGAGACACCTCATTTTATAGTACATTTAAATAGGTTTCTTTTTTTATTTTTCAACACAGACCCTCACTGTCACCCAGGCTGGAGTGCAGTAGCATGATCTCAGCTGACTGCAACCTCACGCCTCCCAGGTTCAAGCGATCCTCTTACCTCAGCCTCCCGAGTAGCTGAGATCACAGGTGCCCACCACCATGCCTGGGTAATTATTGGATTTTTTAGTAGCGACGGGGTTTCACCATGTTGGCCAGGCTGGTCTTGAACTCCTGACCTCAAGTAATCCACCCGCCTTGGCCTCCCGTGCTGGGATTACAGGGGGTAAGCCACTTCGCCTGGCCTAAAACAAATTTTTTTTTTAAGACGGAATCATGGCTCACTGCAACCTCGGCCTCCTGGGCCCAAGCCTCCTGAGGAAGGGGCCTGTAGGTTCACAGCACTACACCTGGCTAACTTTTTTGTTTTTTCTGTTTGTTTCTAGAGGCAGGGTTTCGCCATGTTGCGCAAGTTGGTGTCAAATTCCCAGGCTCAAGTGATCTACCTGCCTCAGCCTCCCAAAGTGCTGACTACAAGGTGTCAGCCACCACGCCCGGCCGTGCTTAAATCTCATTACACTTTGCCAGCCCCCAGGGGTCAGGCCCAAGGAGGAATTCCCTGAGTGGACTCCTAGGGACTCTCCTGCAGCTGCTTGCCCTGTCCTCGGGGGCAGAGGGTGCCCTCCATGGATACACCTCACCCCCATTTCCTTCCTGACGATCCAGCCCCTCATACTGAGAGGCCGGGAGCTTGTTGCCAGCTGAATAAATGCACCTTTGGTCTTTACCATCAATTTTTTTTCCAGTAGCTTGATTTTTTTTTTCTTAGACGGAGTCCAGCACTGTTGCCTAGGCTATAGTGCAGTGGTGCGATCTCAGCCCAGTGCAATCTCTGCCTCCTGGGTTCAAGCAATTCTCCTTCCTCAGGCCTCCCGAGTAGCTGGGACTACAGGTGTGCACCACCACGCCCAGCACATTTTTTTGTGTTTTTAGTAGAGACGGGGTTTCACCATGTTGGCCAGGATGGTCTTGATCTCTTGACCTTGTGATCTGCCCGCCTCGGCCTCCCAAAGTGCTGGGATTACAGGCGTGAGCCACCGCGCCCGGCCCAGTAGTTTGATTTTTAGAGCAGTTTTCGGGTTACCGCACAATTGAGTAAGATACAGAGATTCCGATACCCTTTCCCCTGCACATGCACAGCCTCCCCACTTATCAGCATCCCCTATCAAAATGGAACATTTGTTAAAATTGGCAGACCGATGAGCTGGGTGTTGTGGTCCACTCCTGTAGTCTCCGCTACTCGCCAGGCTAGGGTGAGACTATCACTTGAACCCAGGAGGCCGCAGTGAGCTGTGATCGCACCACCATACTCCAGCCTGGCAACACAGCAAGGCTGTCTCGGAAAAAAAAATCTGGCCGGGTCTGTGGTGGCACATGCCTGTAATCCCAGCCCTTTGGGAGGCCAAGGCAGGCAGATCACTTGAGGTTGGGGGTTCAAGACCACCCTGGCCAACATGGCAAAACTCTTTCTCTACTAAAAAGACAAAAATTAGCCAGGCGTGGTGGCTGGTGCCTGTAATCCCAGCTGCTCAGGAGGCTGAGGCAGGAGAATTGCCTGAACCCAGGTAGAGGCTGTAGTGAGCTGAGATCACGCCAATGCCCTGCAGCCTGGGCACAGAGCGAGACTCTCTATCAAATATAAATATATATATATAAAGAAAAATTGGCAGACTGACCGACCCGTCATCATCCAAAGGCCGTAGGGTTTACTCTTAGTGTTGTTCATTCTGGGAACTTAGACAAATGTATAGTGACATGGATCCCTCGTTATTTTATTTTTTTTCTTTGAGATGGAGTCTCGCTCTGTCACCCAGGCTGGAGTGCAGTAATGCAATCTCAGTTCACTGCAACCTCCGCCTCCCGGGTTCAAGCGATTCTTCTGCCTCAGCCTCCCAGGTAGCTGGGACCACAGGCACACACCGTGATACTCAGCTGTTTTTGTATGTATAGTAGAGATGGGGTTTCACCGTGTTGGCCAGGCTTGTCTTAAACTCCTGACCTCAAGTGGTCCTCCCGCCTTGGCCTCCCAAAGGGCTGGGATTACAGGGAAGAGCCACCACGCCCAGTCAAAAATGTTTACTTTTTAAACTGGAATGGAGTCCAGTTTCTCAGTTATTTTATTCATGGATTGTGTCTTCAGTGCTGCACCTTTTAGCGTCTGATTCTTACCTTCTCTGACATGTTCAGGTTTGTGTCTCAGTCTAATAAAGAAGCCTACGTGATCTCTCTCTATATTAACAACCCTTTACTCATCGGCGGGAGGAAGTTCGACCTGCGGCTGTACGTTCTGGTGTCCACGTACCGTCCGCTGCGCTGTTACATGTAAGCATCCCTAAGGCTTGGGTCCCTCTCGGTTGTGTTTCTACCTTAAACCCCTCCTCAGCACCGTTGTGAGGTTCGATGAGCAGTACATGTGCAGTGCCCGGCACAGGGCAGGGATCAGGGGACGCCAGACCAGTCAGCCCTGATGCTGATGTGAGTTGTGTAAATCGCGCACATGAAAGCAGCTCTTTTTAGAGAATGACGTGGTATCTGTTGTTTGTGTTTCTCCTCGGAGTGCGAATTAATCTACATTCCCACCTAGGTATAAGCTTGGGTTTTGCCGGTTTTGCACAGTGAAATACACCCCGAGTACCAGTGAGCTGGACAACATGTTCGTTCATCTCACCAACGTTGCCATCCAGAAACATGGGGTGAGTGTTTCCTTCCGTTTGTGCTTATAGTAATGGACTCATTTTTTTTCAGGCTGGGCGTGGTGGCTCACGCCTGTAATCCCAGCACTTTGGGAGACTGGGGCAGGTGGGTCACCTGAGGTCAGGAGCTCAAGACCAGCTTGGCCAACGTGGCAAAACCCTGTCTCTATTAAAAATATAAAAATTAGACTGGGCATGGTGCTCCATACCTGTAATCCCAGCACTATGGGAAGCCAAGCTGGGTGGATCACTTGAGGTTAGGAGTTCAAGGCCAGCCTGACCAACACGGTGACATCCCGTCTCTACTAAAAAAATACAGAAATTACCGTGGTGGCACTCACCTGTAATCCCAGCTACTTGGGAGGCTGAGGCAGGAGAATTGCTTGAACCTGGGAGGCAGAGGTTGCAGTGAGCCAAGATCGAGCCATTGCACTCCAGCCTGGGCAACAGAGGGAGACTTCATCTCAAAGAAAAAAAAAAAAAGAAAAAAGGACCAACTTTGTGGGGTTTCTTCTACTTTTTCAAGAACAGTGTGGGTAAGGAGTGATACTCAAGGTATGTTCTGGCTTCAGGCTGGGCACTGATGGGACTGGGAGGCTCTGGGCATAGGTGGGCTGGCCTGGGGCACATCGGCCGAATGCCAGGGCGGGTGGGGGCACCTGGAGAAGGAAGACGGCAGGCTCAAGCCCTGTCTTTCTAGTTCTGCGGCCTTGGGCAAGTCAGCCTAACTCTCAGAGCCTCAGTTTCTCCATTTATAAAAGGAGATCTTAGAGGCCAGGAGCTCATGCCTGTAATGCCAGCACTTTGGGAGGCCAAGGCAGGCGGATCACGAGGTCAAGAGATCGAGACCATCCTGACCAACATGGAGAAACCCCATCTCTACTAAAAAATAAAATACAAAAATTAGCAGGACGTGGCGATGCATGCCTATAGTCCCCGCTACTCGGGAGGCTGAGGCAGGAGGACTGCATGACCCCAGGAGGCGGAGGTTTCAGTGAGCCAAGATCGTGCCACTGCACTCCAGCCTGGGCAACAAGAGTGAAACTCTCATCTCAAAAAAACAGTAATAAATAAATAGGCCGGGCACGGTGGCTCACGCCTGTAATCCCAGCACTTTGGGAGGCCGAGGCGGGTGGATCATGAGGTCAGGAGATGGAGACCATCCTGGTCAACATGGTGAAACCCCGTCTCTACTAAAAATACAAAAAATTAGCTGGGCATGGTGGCACGTGCCTGTAATCCCAGCTACTCAGGAGGCTGAGGCAGGAGAATTGCCTGAACCCAGGAGGTGGAGGTTGCGGTGAGCCGAGATCGCGCCATTGCACTCCAGCCTGGGTAACAAGAGTGAAACTCCGTCTCAAAAAATAAATAAATAAATAAATAAATACAAGGAAATCGTAGTATTACCTTGCAGGACTGTTGAGAGAACGTCGTGAGATGACAGTCCCTGATTTGCCCGGCTTAGCTTATAGTTGTCACGTTTTTGGTGGTGTGAAACCGACGTGCATTCAGTAGGAACCCATGCAACCATTTGTTTTTTTGCTTTGAGTGCAGTAAATAAATTATGTGAGCTCTTTCACACTTTATTTATTTATTTATTTATTTATTTATTTTGAGACGGAGTTTCGCTCTTGTTACCCAGGCTGGAGTGCAATGGCGCGATCCCGGCTCACCGCAACCTCCGCCTCCTGGGTTCAGGCAATTCTCCTGCCTCAGCCTCCTGAGTAGCTGGGATTACAGGCACGTGCCACCATGCCCAGCTAATTTTTTGTATTTTTAATAGAGACGGGGTTTCACCATGTTGACCAGGATGGTCTCGATCTCTCGACCTCGTGATCCAACTGCCTCGGCCTCCCAAAGTGCTGGGATTACAGGCTTGAGCCACCGCGCCCGGCGCCACACTTTATTATATAATAGGCTTTGTGTTCGACGATTCTGTTCAACTTCAGGCTGTTAATAAGTGTTCTCAGCACATTTTAGATAGGCAAGGCTAAGCCGGGATATTCGGTAGGTTAGGTGTATTCAATATTCAATGCACTTTCTTTTTTTTTTTTTTTTTTTGAGACAGAGTCTTGCTTTGTAGCCCCAGCTGGAGTGCAGTAGCACAATCTTGGCTCACCACAACCTCTGCCCAACCTGGGTTCAAGCGATTTTGCTGACTCAGCCTCCTGAGAAGTGAGACTACAGGCACCCACCATCACGCCTGGCTATTTTTTGTATTTTTAGTAGAGGCAGGGTTTCACCATGTTGGCCAGGCTGGTCTCAAACTCCTGACCTCAAGTGATCTGTCCACCTCAACCTCTCAAAGTGCTGGAATTACAGGCATGAGACACTGTGCCTGGCCTTAAGTGCACTTTCAACTTACAATACTTGCAACTTGCTATGGGTTTATCTGGACATAACCCTATTGAGGGGCATCTGTACGCTTTGAGCACCTATGTGAGTTGATCCCATTCCGAGTACCCAGGATACAGTGACAGGCAAAGCCTACCTTAGTACCTACTCTCATGGTTCCCAGAGCTTCCAGCGGAGACATTCATCAAATAACCACCCTTATGAACCTAAAACTACAAACCCAGCTGCTTGCACTGAAAGTGAGAAACACACATCTAGAAGAGCATGGAACAAAAGAAGCCCCTGGTCAGGTGGTTGGAGAAGGCTTCCTTGCAGAAATGGTGCTGGAGCCGAGATCTGAAGCCTGAGCAGGGATGATCCGGAGGAGGTAGGGAGGTTCCACAGCAGTGAGTACCGTGTGCCGAGGCCCCGTTGCAGGAAGGAGCGTTACAGGGCCGTGAGGAAGCCAGTGTGGCGGGAGCCCGGCGTGCGGGTGGTGCCCTAGGAGGGGCTGGAGAGGCCAGACACACGGGGCTTGTGGGCCCAGTTCAGGTTTGGGGCTCTGATTTCACCCCCACACAAACCACAAATCATTTCTTTTATTTTCTTTCTATTATTATTACTTTCTTGAGACGGATTTGTGCGCTTCTTGCCCAGGCTGGAGTGCAATGGCACAATCTCGGCTCACCACAACCTCCACCTCCCTGGTGTAAGCGATTCTCCTGCCTCAGCCTCCCAAGTAGCTGGGATTACAGGCCTGCACCATCACACCCAGCTAATGTTGTATTTTTAGTAGAGATGGGGTTTCTCCATGTTAGTAAGGCTGGTCTCAAACTCCTTATCTCAGGTGATCCACCCGCCTTGACCTCCCAAAGTGTTGGGATTACAGGCGTGAGCCACCTTGCCCAGCCCAAAGGTCTCATTTCTTTCTTTCTGTTTTATTTTTATTTTTTGAGATGGAGTTTCACTCTTGTTGCCTAGGCTACAGTGCAGTGGCAGGATCTCAGTTTATTGCAACCTCCACCTCCCGGGTTCAAGTGATTCTCCTGCCTCAGCCTCCAGAGTAGCTGGGATTACAGGTGCGTACCACCACACCGGGCTGGGGTTTTTTAGTCAGAAAGGGGTTTCACCAGCCGGGCGCAGTGGCTCACGCCTGTAATCCCAGCACTTTGGGAGACCGAGGCAGGTGGAACACCTGAGGTCAGGAGTTTAAGACCAGTCTGACCAATATGGTGAAACCCCATCTCTATTTAAAAAAAAAAAGAAACCCCATCTCTATTTAAAAAAAAAAAGTTAACAAAATAAATAAAGGGGTTTCACCATCTTGACCAGGCTGGTCTTGAACTACTGACTTCAGGTGATCCACCCACTTCAGCTTCCCAAAGTGCTGGGATTACAGGCACAAGCCACCACACCTGGACTTTATTTTAAAATATGGCTAATTCTCCCTTTACCTGCTTGGGTCAGTGCTGTTTGCTTGAGCAGTTAGTAGGCTGGTTTTGTTTCGGTTCATGGTTCTCACTTTATACTTAGAAAATGAAATCGCAGTCCCCCAACAGTGGAACACACTCCGGGATTTTCTAGTTCTCTGCCTTCAAAGGCAAGCATTGTATGGATAATTAATTTTCAGTGGTGGCAAAGCAAAAAGGGTGCAGAACTGGCATCAGAACGTTTGGGCTGGGCGCCCAGCTCCATCCCAGCCCAGGAGGAAAGCTTGGGCAAGTAACAGCTTCTCTGAGCCTGGCCTCACCTGTGAAGTGGGATGATGATGGTGACTTCTCAAGGTTGTTCGAGAATTAGGGGTGCAGTGCTTTTACACTGTAGTGCACAGCCCTGGTGTGTCTTCGGTTGGCTTCCCCGGGAAAGACTCTGAGGGAGAAGTCAGTGTTCAGGGGGTTTCCGGGCCCAGCGTCAGGGGCAGCACCTGTGAGGGAGGTGAGCGGACCCAGCAGAGGGAGAGTCGAGCTGCGATCTTGCTGCAGTGGAGGCCTCAGCCCACGCCGGGGTGCTGTGGAGCAGAGATGGCCTGCAGAGCTGTCCGGGAGGGAGCAGGGGCTGACAGCTGGCCTCAGCAGACATGGGGTGCTGCTGCCCTCAGGGAGGGCTTCACCCCTGGGTTAGGGCGCTCCCTCAAGCCAAGGGCACTCCCAGTGCGGGTTTCAGCTGGAAGAATGAGTGCCTTGGTCTTGAAGGGTATCCCGGCAGCACTCCAGCCTTGCTGTGAGGCATAAATGATTAATCTGGAGAGTATTCGGGAGATGAGCATTTACAAATACCCATATAAGGCCGGTCGTGGTGGCTCACGCCTGTAATCCCAGCACTTTGGGAGGACGAGGCAGGCAGAGCACCTGATGTCAGGAGTTCAGGACCAGCCTGGCCAACATGGTGAAACCCCATCTCTACTAAAAATACCAAACTTAGCCGGCCATGATGGCAGGTGCCTGTAATCCCAGCTAGTTGGGAGGCTGAGGCAGGTGAATCGCTTGAACCTGGGAGGTGGAGGTTACAGTGAGCCAAGATCGCAACATTGCATTCCAGCCTGGGTGATAGATGGAGACCCCATCTCAAAAAAAAAAAAAAAAAAAAAACACCCACATAGTAAGAGGCCCAGATGGCCAGGCACACTGGCTCATGCCTGTAATCCCAACACTTTGGTTGGCCAGCGCAGGAGGATTGTTTGAGGCCAGGAGTCCAAGAGCAGTCTGGGGAACATAGTGAGACCTCTTCTCTACAAAAAATTTAAAAATTAGCCAGGCGTGATGACACATCTGGAGTCTCAGCTTTTTTTTTTTTTTTTTTTTGAGATGGAATTTCGCTCTTGTTACCCAGGCTAGAGTGCAATGGCGCGATCTTGGCTCACCGCAACCTCCGCCTCCTGGGTTCAGGCAATTCTCCTGCCTCAGCCTCCTGAGTAGCTGGGATTACAGGCACGCGCCACCATGCCCAGCTAATTTTTTGTACTTTTAGTAGAGACGGGGTTTCACCATGTTGACCAGGATGGTCTCGATCTTTTGACCTTGTGATTCACCCGCCTTGGCCTCCCAAAGTGCCGGGATTACAGGCGTGAGCCACCACACCCGACAGTCTCAGCTTCTTGAGACTGAGGTGGGAGGATCGATTAAGCTCAAGAGGTCATGGCTGCTGTGCGCCAAGTCACACTGTTGTACTCCAGCTTGGGAGACAGAATGAGACCTGTCTCAAAACAAAACAGAAAATAGGTGGCCTGCCCAAGGCAGGCAGATCACCAAGTCAGGAGATCGAGACCATCCTGGCTAACACAGTGAAACCCCATCTCTACTAAAAAATACAAAAATTAGGGCTGCGTGTGGTGGCACACACCTGTAATCCCACACTTTGGGAGGCCGAGGCAGGTCTATCACCTGAGGTCAGGAGTTTGAGACTAGCTTGACCAACAAAGAGAAACTCTGTCTCTGCTAAAAAAAAAAAAAAAAAAAAAAAAAAAAAAAAGGCCGGGCACGGTGGCTCACACCTGTAATCCCAGCACTTTGGGAGGCCGAGGCGGGTGGATCACGAGGTCAAGAGATCGAGACCATCCTGGTCAACATGGTGAAACCCCGTCTCTACTAAAAATACAAAAAAGTAGCTGGGCATGGTGGCACGTGCCTGTAATCCCAGCTACTCAGGAGGCTGAGGCAGGAGAATTGCCTGAACCCAGGAGGCGGAGGTTGTGGTGAGCCGAGATCGCGCCACTGCACTTCAGCCTGGGCGACAGAGCAAGACTCCATCTCAAAAAAAAAAAAAAAAAAAAACAAAACAGAAAATATGCGCCCAGATCTCCCTGGGGCAGAGGTCCCATCTGCCTTGTTGCCGGACGCCCACACCTAGGGGACACTCCTGAAATGCTCGGGCAATGAAAGGGCTCCACCGGGTTCCTCTGTGGTGCACAGCCTGAGGGACACCTACCTGCTCTCCTGTTGCCAGGACGACTACAACCACATCCACGGGGGCAAGTGGACGGTCAGCAACTTGCGGCTGTACCTGGAGAGCACCCGCGGCAAGGAGGTGACCAGCAAGCTGTTTGACGAGATCCACTGGATCATCGTACAGTCTCTGAAGGCCGTGGCGGTGCGTTGCCGTGGGCGGGGGAGCCGGCTCTAAGGGCACATTTGGGAGTGGTGGGGCTTGCTGTTCTCTTGTTAAAATTACCTGTTTCTGGCTGGGTGCAGTGGCTCACACCTGTAATCCCAGCACTTTGAGAGGCTGAGGCGGCGGATCACCTGAGGTCAGGAGTTCAAGACCAGCCTGGCCCACATGGTAAAACCCATCTCTACTCAAAATAAAATAATTAGCTGGGCGTGGTGGCACTCATCTGTAATCCCAGCTACTCAGGAGGCTAAGGCAGGACAATCGATAGAACCCAGGAGGCAGAGGTTGCAGCCAGCCAAGATTGCACCAGTGCACTCTAGCCTAGGCAACAGAGCTCTGTCTCAAAAAACAAAAACAAAACCACTGTTTTCAGCCATGTATGGTGGCTCACACCTGGGAGGCCGAGGTGATGGATCACCTGAGGTCAGGAGTTCAAGACCAGCCCAGCCAACATTAAAATCCCATCTGTACTAAAAATACAAAATTAGTGCAATGTGATGGTGCATGCCTGTGATCCCAGCTACTTGTGAGGCTGAGGCAGGAGAATCGCTTGAACCTAGGAGGCAGAATTTGCAGTGAGCCAAGATCACACCATTGCACTCCATTCTGGGCAAAAGGAACGAAACTCTGTCTCAAAAAAAAAAAAAAAGAGATGATATCTGGTGGGAGATGATGTCTGGTGGGGAGATGATGTCTGGTGGGCGCCTTGACTTTCTGCACTTCGAGTGAAGCTCTTCCAGCCTTCAGAGTGGTGTGTGAGCACGGTGTAGTGGTGTGTGAGCACGGTGTAGTGGTGTGTGAGCACGGTGTAGTGGTGTGTGAGCACGGTGTAGTGGTGTGTGAGCACGGTGTAGTGGTGTGTGAGCACGGTGTGTGGGTTCGTCCTGCGCCTTTTTTTTTTTTTTTTTTTGAGATGGAGTGTTGCTCTGTTGCCCAGGCTGGACTGCAGTGGCGCAATCTCGACTCACTGTAACCTCCATCTCCATGTTCAAGCGATGCTCCTGCCTCAGCCTCCTGAGTAGCTGGGATTACAGGCACACACCACCATGCCCAGCTAATTTTGTGTTTTTAGTAAAGACGGGGTTTCACCATGGTCAGGCTGGACTTGACCTCCTGACCTCGTGATCCGCCAGCCTCAGCCTCCCAAAGTACTGGGATTACAGATGTGTACTGTGCCTGGCCCCGTTCTGTGTCTTTGACTTACAGTGAGGATCCGGATAGATAAAACCCCCAGGACCTGGTGCATGGCTGGAGATTCGTCTTGGGGGCCGAGCGCCCCATCTCTTGTGCCCCTGAAGCTCCTTATGCCTTGGTGGCTTGGGTTGCAGCTTAGGTGACAGGTAACAAGTGTGGAGTTCAGATCTGATTTCATGCCAGGCCCCATCATGAGCCAACAGGGGACTAGGCTCAAGAGCCTCCTCTTACTGAGCCTCAGATGCCTTCTCTGTGAAATTGGGACTGTGACGCCCGTGTCGTGGGGTGTACATGAACATCTGCACTGCGTGATTAGGGAGAGTTAAATGCCATTCGTCTGTTAACACGTGATTGTGTGAATTGTTACCCAGTGACCCAGCCCTTTGCTCTCCCCTCCCAGCCCATTGTAGGATTGGCAGACAGTTGAGAAAAAGCTGGCTGTTTTCAAGGAAACCTGTACCCCCTCAGCCTAGCCCTCTGGCAAGTGCCTCTGCTTGGCGCTTTCTGGGCCTCAGTTTCATGAACTGAAAAGCTGTTATCATAGATTTCTAAGGCTCTGCGGGTCTTTGGAGCAGGGATTTATGCATTCAGCTTTTATTCACGTAGCAAATATTTCATCACCTGGTTTTTACCAGGCATTTTGTTCTCACAGTGAGGCAGCCCAGGGAACAGGCACATGGGAGGGGCCTGGTGCGGGATGGGAGGAGTCAGCTGCCAGATGGGGGGCCAGGTGCGGGATGGGAGGGGCCTGGTGCGGGATGGGCGGGGCCTGGTGCGGGATGGGAGGGGCCTGGTGCGGGATGGAGGGCCTGGTGCGGGATGGGCGGGGCCAGGTGCGGGATGGGAGGGGCCTGGTGCGGGATGGGCGGGGCCAGGTGCGGGATGGGAGGGGCCTGGTGCGGGATGGGCGGGGCCTGGTGCGGGATGGGAGGGGCCTGGTGCCGGATGGGAGGGGCCAGGTGCGGGATGGGCGGGGCCTGGTGCCGGGTGGGCGGGGCCTGGTGCGGGATGGGAGGGTCCAGGTGCGGGATGGGAGGTGGCTCTGAGGCCCTCGGAGGAACCCCGACCTGCCTGCAGCCTGAGCCCGGACGGAGATGCTGAAAGCCACGCCCTGTGGGCAGTCCGCTCAGAGCTGGAAGCAGAGCGCGGGTTTGGAGAAAGGCAGTCGGGCTAAGGACGTCCTGTCTTACAGACGTTGTCTGGGACAGTAGTCTGGGCCCTGGCCGGATGACGATACCAGGCTTTTACTTTAAATGTCATTTCGGTAAATGGCATGAGGAAGCAGCCGACCAGAGCCTCGCTTTCGCTCTCCGTGAGTGAGGAGGATGGTCTGGGCTCTCTCCCTCGGGCAGTTGCCAGCTTCATCAAGTGTTTTGTGGAAGCAGAGTCCAGTGCCCTCTAAGGTGTGAGAAGAGCTCCCTACGCCGTCTCTGTGCTTCCCTGACTGTGGGGTGCACAGGTCTCCGAGGAGCATGTAACACTGACTGTGGGGCCTCTCCAGAGGCTGAACCCAGGCGGGCTGGGGAGGGCACGGGAATCTGCATCATAGGCAGCTGGGGTTTAGGGTTTTTTTGTTTTTCAAATGGATTCTCGATCTGTCTCCAGGATAGAGTACAATGGCATGATCTAGGCTCACAGCAACCTCTGCCTCCCAGGTTCAAGTGATTCTCCTGCCTCAGCCTCTTGACTAGCTGGGATGACAGGTGTGCACCACCACACCCAGCTAATCTTTTTTTTTTTTTTTTTTTTTTTGAGAGACAGAGTTTTGCTCTCGTTGCCCAGGCTGGAGTACAATGGCTTAATCTCGGCTCACTACTACCTCCACCTCCGTGGTTCAAGCAATTCTGCCTCAGCCTCTCGAGTAGCTGGGATTACAGGCATGTGCCACCACACCTGGCTAATTTTGTATCTTTAGTAGAGACAGGGTTTCTCCATGTTGGTCAGGCTGGTCTTGAACTCCCGACCTCAGGTGATCTTACCTCCTTGACCTCCCAAAGTTTTGAGATGACAGGCATGAGCCACCTTGCCTGGATTTTTTTGTATTTTTAGTAGACACAAGATTTCGACATGTTGGGCAGGCTGGTCTCGAACTCTCCACCTCAGGTGTTCCCCCCGCCTCAGCCTCCGAAAGTGTTGGGATTACAGGCGTCGGCCACTGTATCCAGTCATGTTTCTTTTTTGTTTGTTTTTACGTGGCAGGTTCTTGCTCTGTCACCTAGTCTGGATGCAGTGGCGCGATCATGGCTCGTTGCACTCCAGTCCCCCTCCCTGTACTCCTCTTCCGCCCAGCCTGAAGCTATCTCCAGTAGCGGGGACTACAGGCGAATGCCACCGCACGCAGCTCAATTTTTTATTTGTTGTAGAGGCAGGGTCTCGATGTGTTGCCCAGACTGGTCTCAAATTCTTGGGTTTAAGTGATCCTCCCACCTTGGCCTCCCAAAGTGCTGGGATTACAGACATGAGCCACTGCACCCAGCCACAGGTGATATTATTTATGTATCTGGAGATCAGTTAATCCAAGGTGTATCTAAGTGACATGGAATTGAAAATTACAAAGGAAATTAAAAAATTGTCTGTAAATGGATTTACATTTATCACTGGGAACAGAGGTTAATAGTCTGGCACCTCACTCCCCCTAGGGCCTGGGATGGGGTGACGGGCAACCTGGTGGACAGTTTGTGCCTGTGATAAGGCCATGAAGTCTGTCACTGCAGGTTCGGGGCTTAGAGCGGGATGTCCGTCCACTCTCATGACAGTCTCACTCCGGCTTGGGTACTGGTCAAGCCTCTGATGAGTAAGATGCAGAGAAACCCATTACGGCTTCAGCAGTTCTCTCTGTCAGGCCAAGGGAAGTGCCCAGTCTCTGAGCTCTGTGGGAGGAAGAGGGGAGGGAGGGAAGGAAGCCTTTGGGGTGGAGCATGGGAGCCCTTGCTGTGGGGACAACCCTGCTTGTCTCTGAGGTGTTGGTCTCCGCTGCGCCCCTCGGTGCTGGCCCTGTAACCCGCGGGTCACTCTCTCCTCAGCCGGTGATGAACAATGACAAGCACTGCTTTGAATGCTATGGCTACGACATCATCATCGACGACAAGCTGAAGCCCTGGCTGATCGAGGTAACCGAGGCAGCGCCTGCACCTGGCCGCGCCACACACAACCCCCAACACGCTTGTCCCGACTCGGGCCTGGCAGCCGCCCAGGCCCCAAATGTTTCTCAGGCCAGGCAGGAAGGGGACCGATGTTCAGGTTGGGTGGTTTGCTGTTGGGTGAGGTGTGAGCACATTCCTGCATGGCTCGCCTCCCAGTGCCCGGCCCACCCCAGAGAGCTGTGGCCGTCTCACGTGAACTTGGCGGCTGCAGCACCTCCAGGGTGCCTCTGGGCTAGTCCATCCTCCCTCAGTCCTGAACCCTGCCTGTCACCTGGGTGACAGTGTTCCCATCTAGGAAAGCAGCTCACAGCTTCGGAAGCCCTTGGCCCGCAGGAGCACACTCCTGAGGAAGGAACGTCGCTACTATTCTTTCTTTTGCCCAGGCTGAGTGCAGTGGCACAGACTTTGCCTCCTGTATTCAAGCAATTCAGTTCTCCTGCCTCAGACTCCCAAGTAGCTGGGACTACAGGCACATGTTACCACACCCGGATAATTTTTTTGTGTTTTAGTAAAGACGAGGTTTCACCGTGTTTTCCAGGCTCGTCTCAAACTCCTGAGCTCAGGCAGTCCACCCACTTTGGCCTCCCAAAATGCTAGGATTGCAGGAGTGAGCCACCGCACCCGGCCAACAATTCTTTCTTTTTTTTCTGTCTTGAGACAGGGTCCCACTCTGTGATCTAGGCTACAGGCAACGGCGCAATCATAGCTCGCTGCAGCCTCCAGCTTCTGGGCTCAAGTGATCCTCCTGCCTCAGCCTCCCAAGTGGATAGAACTGCAGGCACATACCACCATGCCCGGCTAATGTTTTTGCTTTTTGTAGAGATGGGGTTTCACTATGTTGCCCAAGCTGGTTTTGAACTCCTGGGCTCAAGTGATCCTCCTGCCTTGACCTCCAAAAATGCTGAAATTACAAGTGTGAGCCACCGCTCCCAGCCCTTTTTTTTTTTTTTTTAAATTTTAGTTTCAGGGGACACATGTGCAGGAATGTATTGCAAAATGCTAGGCTTTGGGCTTCTCTGGAACCTGTCACCCAAATAGTGAATGTGGTATTCACTAGGGAGTTTTTAAACCCTTGCCTTCTTCCCTCCCCCCTTTGGAAAACCTAATGTTTTGGGTATTTTTTAATTTTTGAGATGGAGTCGTGTTCTGTCACCCAGGCTGGAGTGCAGTGGAACGATCTCAGCTCACTGCTAACCTCTACCTCCCGGTTCAAGCGTTCTCATGCCTCAGCCTCCTGAGTAGGTGGGATTATAAGTATCTACCACCATACCTGGCCAATTTTTTTTTTTTTTTCTTTTTTTAAGATGGGGTTTCGCCAGGCGCGGTGGCTCAAGCCTGTAATCCCAGCACTTTGGGAGGCCGAGGTGGGTGGATCACAAGGTCGAGAGATCGAGACCAACCTGGTCAGCATGGTGAAACCCCGTCTCTACTAAAAATACAAAAAATTAGCTGGGCATGGTGGCGTGTGCCTATAATCCCAGCTACTCAGGAGGCTGAGGCAGGAGAATTGCCTGAACCCAGGAGGCGGAGGTTGCGGTGAGCCGAGATCGCGCCATTGCACTCCAGCCTGGGTAACAAGAGCGAAACTCCATCTCAAAAAAAAAAAAAAAAAAGATGGGGTTTCACCATGTTGGTCAGGCTGGTCTTGAACTCCCGACCTCAGGTGATCTGCCCACCTTGGCCTCCAAAGTCCTTGGATTACAGGTGTGAGCCACCACGCCTGGCCTCAATACCAGGCTAATTTTTGTATTTTTAGTGGAGACAAGTTTTTACCATGTTAGTCAGGCTGGTCTTGAACTCCTGACCTCATGATTCACCCGCTGCAGCCTCCCAAAGTGCTGGGATTACAGGCGTGAACCACCACACCCAGCCTGAGATTTGGTCTCTTAAAAAAAAAAAAAAACAGGCCAGGCGCAGTGGCTTGTGCGTGTAATCCCAGCACTTTGGGAAGCTGAAGCGGGTAGATCACGAGGTCAGGAGTTCAAGACCAGCCTGGCCAGCATGGTGAAACCCTGTCTCTACCAAAAATACAAAAAATTAGCTGGGCATGGTTATGCACGCCTATAATCCCAGCTACTCAGGAGGCTGAGGCAGGAGAAATAGCTTGAACCTGGGAGGCAGAGGTTGTAGTGAGCTAAGATCATGCCACTGCACTCCAGCCTGGGCGACAGAGCAAGACTCCATCTCAACAAAACAAAACAAACAAACAAACAAAAAAACCAGCAACCGAGGGCCTGTGGGACTCGCCACAGAGCAAAGTGAATGTCTGCATTTGAATGTATGGATTTCATGACGCTGCTTAGCTTCTCAGAGGCTTTATGGGACTACCTTTCCGTGTGCTGGAAGGATTCATCGTTTGAGTTAGAATGCTGCTTTTTTTTTTTCTTTTTCTTTTCTTTTTTTTTGTGAGACTGAGTCTCACCCTCTGGCCCAGGCTGGAGTGCAGTGGCTCGATCTCGGCTCATTGCAGCCTCCACCTCCTGGGTTCAAGCGATTCCTCTGCCTCGGCCTCCTGAGGAGCTGGGACTACAGGTGTGCACCACCACGCCTGGCTCACTTTTTGTATCTTTAGTAGAGATGGGGTTTCACCATGTTAGCCAGGCTGGTCTCGCACTCCTGACCTCGTGATCCACCCGCTCTGGCCTCCCAAAGTGCTGGGATTACAGGTGTGAGTCACCGCACCCGGCCCAAGAACACTGCTTTGTTGATATCACTCTCTTAGCAAAAAAGGGAGCCCATTGCCTTTTACTTAAACCCACACTGCTGCTTGGGCAGGGTCATTTGGTTCAATGATTTTTTTTTTTTTTTTTTTTGAGACGGAGTTTCACTCTTGTTGCCCAGGCTGGAGTGCAATGGCGCGATCTCGGCTCACCGCAACCTCCGCCTCCTGGGTTCAGGCAATTCTCCTGCCTCAGCCTCCTGAGTAGCTGGGATTACAGGCACGTGCCACCATGCCCAGCTAATTTTTAGTATTTTTAGTAGAGACGGGGTTTCACCATGTTGACCAGGATGGTCTTGATCTCTTGACCTTGTGATCCACCCGCCTCAGCCTCCCAAAGTGTTGGGATTACAGGCTTGAGCCACCGCGCCCGGCTTGGTTCAATGATTCTAACAAACCCCTAGGGGGTTCTTGGTACTTAGGACAGAACCAGTCACGCAGGTGACACTGAAATTGTGTTTGTGATCTATTCTGGCCCCAAAATGTTTGTTTGTGTGATGGCTGATTTGTGGATCCTAATTCTAATCCTACCTTTGAGTATTACTTATATTTCTTTTTTTCTTTTTTTTTTTTTTGAGACGGAGTTTCACTCTTGTTACCCAGGCTGGAGTGCAATGGCGCGATCCCGGCTCACCGCAACCTCCGCCTCCTGGGTTCAGGCAATTCTCCTGCCTCAGCCTCCTGAGTAGCTGGGATTACAGGCACGTGCCACCATGCCCAGCTAATTTTTTTTTGTATTTTTAGTAGAGACGGGGTTTCACCATGTTGACCACGTTGGTCTCGATCTCCTGACCTCGTGATCCACCCGCCTCTGCCTCCCAAAGTGCTGGGATTACAGGCTTGAGCCACCGCGCCCGGCCAAGTATTACTTATATTTCATTGAACAGCTAATAAAAGTGAACCACAAAGTGCTTCCTATCCAAGGTGCTCTGACGGTATTAGATAATCGCAATGTTACATAACAACCTTTTTTTTTCTTTTTTTTTTTTTTTGAGACAGAGTCTCAAATCTCTTTGTCGCCCAGGCTGGAGTGCAGTGGCTCGATCTCAGCTCACTGCAACCTCCGCCTCCTGGGTTCAAGTGATTCTTCTGCCTCGGCCTACCGAGGAGCCGGGACTACAGGAGCATGCCTCCACACCCGGCTAATTTTTTTTTTTTTTTTTTTTTTTTTTTTTTTTTTTTGAGACGGAGTTTCGCTCTTGTTACCCAGGCTGGAGTGCAATGGCGCGATCTCGGCTCACTGCAACCTCCGCCTCCTGGGTTCAGGCAATTCTCCTGCCTCAGCCTCCTGAGTAGCTGGGACTACAGGCACGCGCCACCACGCCCAGCTAGTTTTTTGTATTTTTAGTAGAGACGGGGTTTCACCATGTTGACCAGGATGGTCTCGATCTCTCGACCTCGTGATCCACCCGCCTCGGCCTCCCAAAGTGCTGGGATTACAGGCTTGAGCCACCGTGCCCGGCCTAATTTTTATATATATTTTTTAGTAGAGACGGGGTTTCGCCATATTGGTTAGGCTGGTCTTGAACTCCCGACCTCAAGATCTGCCCACCTTGGCCTCCCAAAGTTCTAGGATTACAGGCGTGAGCCACCGCGCCCAGCACAACCACCTTCCTGAAGTGTGCAGCAGCGCGTGTTTTCATTCCGAAAGAGAGACGCAGGTGAGGAACATGGGTCTTTCCCTCTCACAGGTGAACGCGTCCCCGTCTCTCACCTCCAGCACCGCCAATGATCGAATCCTCAAGTATAACCTGATTAACGACACCCTCAACATTGCTGTTCCCAATGGCGAAATTCCAGACTGCAAATGGAACAAGTCACCCCCAAAGGAAGTCCTTGGCAATTACGAGATTCTGTAAGTCTGAGTGACTGCATGCCTGTCCTTCTGTGTCTCTGAACGGTGTACCACAACCCAGCTTGGATTTCTGGGCATGTGTGGATTCTGCTTGTTTGAGCAGAGTGTTTCATTTATTAATAACATTATGGGATAGATTGTGTTGTAGAAGAAAGTTTATTTTATTACTACTTTTTTTGTTTGGAGAGGGAGTCTTGCTCTGTCGCCCAGGCTGGAGTGCAATGGCGTGATCTTGGCTCACTGCAACCTCCACCTCCCGGATTCAAGTGATTCTCCAGCCTCAGCCTCTCAGGTAGCTGGGATTACAGGCACGTGCCACCACGCCTGGCTAAGTTCTGTATTTTTAGTAGAGATGGGGTTTCACCTTGTTGGCCATGCTGGTCTTGATCTCCTGACCTCAAGTGATCCTCCCGCCTCAACCTCCTAAAGTGCTGGGATCTACTGTGCCCGGCCCAGAAAAGCAGTTTGGGTGCTAAACGTGATCACTGTGTATTCTCCTGCTCATGATGTACGTGTGATGCACTGATCACGTGCCAGGCCCCCTGTTAGCCGCCAGGATGCTGCAGCAGGGTGGATGGAGCGCTTGGTTCTCACAGGTCACCTGGGCACGTTCCCTAGCGTTGCCATGTACAGCTGGGTCGTGACGGTGAGGAACCCAGTGCTACTGTTGGAGCCTCAGTCTGTCCACCTTTAAATGGGTATAATAAGATGTATCTTACAGAGTGGGAAGGACAGAGCTAACCTTCAAGGACTTACCATGCATCAGAAACTGTGCAGATTGCTTTACACGCAGTATCAGTTCCTTTTCCCAGGAACGTTTTGAAGTAGGTAAGAGTGTTAGCTCCGTTTCACAGATGTGGAAAGAAAGGCTTACAGCAGTTCTGTGGCATGCCTGTATTCCGTGGCATGCCTGTATTCCGTGGCCTGCCTGTATTCCGTGGCATGCCTGTAGTGGCAAAAGTGGGAGCCTGTCAGGAGTGTGGTGGCTGAACACAGTATGGTTCATTCATTCCGTGGTCTATTGGGTGGCCTTTAAAAAGACTGACCCAGAAGCAGGACGGTGGCCATGGAAGTTGGAATCCGATAAGGAGTGTGTAACACCTCACCTGCTGAAAAAAATAAAAAAGGACTGACCCAGAGCTACCCCGTGGGGCCTGGGAGGTGGCCTGGGAAAAACAACTGCAGAAAAGGGATATAATGTAATCCTTGTGAAACGTGGACCTCAGAGCCCCCGTGTGTGTGTACGGTGACACGTGCGAATGCCTGAGCAGGGAGACGTGGAAGGACACGCGTCATGTTGCCGGTGTCGATTCTGCAGTCGGGTGGGTGTCGAGGGAGCCAGGGAAGCAGACGGCAGTGGAAGGCGGAGGAGTAGGTGTGTGAGGATCACAGTTACATGTTTCTGTCAAAGCAAAAGTGTGCATTTAATCTAAATTTTTTGAAAACAGGCAGAAATATTTAGCGACATTTACACACAGCCACGTCAGGCTTGCAGCTGGTAGGCACGGCTGGTGGGAGGATTTGAACACGGGCCCGGGACTCGAGGGCCCATGCTTAGCTGCCTCCTGCCCTGCTGCGGGTGAGTGTGATGTGGATGGGCGTGGCACAGCTTGTCGTCTGAGACAGGAGGAGCAGGCGGAACGGGACTTTAGGTGGAAGTATGCTGGGCTTGCTGGCAACCTCGGGACCTCTGCAGGGTGGTGGCTGTGACCCTCAGGGGCGACCGGTCAGTGTGTGTGGTTGGTGGGTCTCCACGCTCAGCTGCTTGGGCTAGGTATAGAGAAGGCAGAGGGTTGGGAGGGGCCAGAGTTGGGAGCTTGCAATGGCAAGAGAGAGGGCAGCAGGGACAGGGAGGAGGTGGGGGTGGGTGGCAGTCCCATGGGGCAGGTTGGAGTCGGGCACTAGAGAAGAGAGCTGGGAGGAGAAGGGGCAGTGGTCAGGGAGTAAGCGCTTGCCGTGGAGCTAATGCGAGGGGTGGCGAGGCTTGGGGGCTCCTGGGGATGGACTGAGATGGAGTAGAGGACAGGGTCACCCAGCGGTCATGGAACTGGGGTTTTCATCTGTTTGATCTTGTCATCACCTGCAGCCATGGACTAGGAGCCTGGGTCTCCAAGGGATGGGGGTGGTGACTGCACGAGGCGGGGACGTAACTGTGGTGACCACGCCTGGGGTGAGCTGGGGGTTTTAGGGAGGAGGCCCCCTCCAGCAGGGAGTATGGTGGGTGGGAGGGAAAGCAGTCCCCACCCCAGGGGCCGCAGGGGAAGCAGTGTCTCCCAGGAGACCCAGGAGCCTGTTAGAGCAGGAAGGTGGAGGGCGGGGCGGGTGGGAGTCAGGCGGCGGGTTCCGGACTCCACAGAGGGTGACTCTGCGGATGGGGTCAGACTGGGGTTGGCAGCCTGGGAGGTGAAGGGTGATCGCGGGGCTGGGAACGGCAGCTGGGAGGGCGGCCTTGGGGGCTGGGTCCTGATGGCCCCTGTGCTGGAGGACCGAGGGTTCTGTGGGGGTGCACAGGGGTGGGGACCATTCGGGGGAGACTTGTCATAGCATGAAGGCCTTGGGGGGTTCTCTTCAGTCCAGCTGAGGATGGCGGGGAGGCTGCCTTGTTGGGAGCGTGTGGGGCCTCTGCCCTGTCCAGCCGTGGCCTCCTTGAGGGAGGGAGCCAGACTTGCCATCTCCAGGCTAAGAAGCAGAGGCCACGCTGAGCCCAGTGGCTCACGCCTGTAATCCCAGCACTTTGGGAGGCTGAGGCAGGTGGATCACCTGAGGTCAGGAGTTCAAGACCAGCCTGGCCACTATGGTGAAACCCCATCTTTACTAAAAATACAAAAACTAATTGGGCATGGTAGCTCGTGCCTGTAATCCCAGCTGCTTGTGAGGCTGAGGGCGGGATAATGGCTTGAACTCAGGAGGTGGAGGTTGCAGTGAGCTGAGGCTACGCCACTGCGCTCCAGCCTGGGCGACAGTGAGACTCCGCCTCAAAAGTAATAAAGAAATAAAGCAGAGCCCAGAGCCTCATTGCTTTTAGTTGAAGAGACAACAAGGTGACCCCTCCTGATCTAGCCGTCCTCTCCCGGCTCCTGAGGGGTAACGGAGGGCTCCTGTGTGTAGCTGATGGTCTCTAAATGCTTCCGGTCAGGGCTCACTTCCCCTAGTCATTCAGATGATCAAAGAACCAGGTCTGTGTTCAGGTGCAGCCACCTGCAGCAGCAGCAGTTGGTGCTGACTGGGAGGGCCCCGGCATCTGAGTGGCGCCACCCGTCCGTGTCCCTGCCGGGTGCTCTGCGTCTCACTCGATGGCCACAGCAACCCCTCAGAGCCCAGCAGCAGTAGCAAGGACGCTGGCCGCATGTGGTGCCGCTGGCCGTGGACCCATGAGGCTTGGCCCTTGGCATCTGCTACCTCCAGGGCGCTGTTCTGAAGTTGCTGGCTCGACTTTTACAGGCTTTTAAAAAAGTACTGCTCTGAACCCTAACAGTGACTAGATTCTATCAAAACCCAGAAGAAAGGCCTGCTAGGACAGGAACTTAGAAGAACCATCTTGGCTCTGATTCTCCTCCGCGTTGGCTCAGTAGGTGGCCAGACCGCCCCTGAGAACGGTGCATGCTGGTGCCAGCTGCTTGCCAAATGCGTGGTTCTGTTTGTTTTGATTTTTGAGCTCTGCAGATCAGCACGAGTGCTCTGTGAAACTGGTCACCATACGTGGTCCTTTTCTCTATTCATTCAGTGATTCCTACTCACCAGAGCTTGAACAAGCTGCTGGGGCAGCCGAGAACCAGGTAGGCGGGCAGTGACTGCATTTATGAATCTGGAGTCCCCAGGGGCTGGAGACGTCTGATCCGTGGAGAGGGGCCGGGGAGGCTTCCTGGAGGACCCCCCACTCAGGCAGATTCCAGAGCGCCTGGGGTGTCCTGTCTGGCTTCCTTGTGTCATAGGGACTGTGGCTGTGTCTTCTTCGAGAGCCAGGGAGGAGAGCGGGACCCTGTGTCGTCGTCCTGAGAGCCCCACCCTGGTGCACAGCCTGTATCTCTGTAGTGTCTGCTTCACAGGCGGAAGTCAGAAAATGCGGCCAGGCGCTGTGGCTCACAACTGTAATCCCAGCACTTTGGGAGACAGAGGCCGGCAGGTCACCTGGGCTCAAGAGTTTGAGAACAGCCTGGGCAACATGGTGAAACTCCATCTCTACCAAAAACACAGAAATTTAGCTGGGCGTGGTGACATGCATCTGTAATCCCAGCTACTCGGAAGGCTGAGGCATGAGAATCTCTTGAACCCGGGAGGCAGAGGTTGCAATGAGCTGAGATTGTGCTGCTACAGTCGTCTGGGTGACCATTTCGAAAAAAAGGAGTCATGGGCAGGGGGCTCATACCTGTAATCCCAGCACTTTGAGCGGCCGAGGCGGGTGGATCACAAGGTCAAGAGTTCGAGATCAGCCTGGCCAAGATGGTGAAAACCTGTCTCGACTAAAAATACAAAAATTAGGCCGGGCGCGGTGGCTCAAGCCTGTAATCCCAGCACTTTGGGAGGCTGAGGTGGGTGGATCACGAGGTCAAGAGATCGAGACCATCCCGGTCAACATGGTGAAACCCTGTCTCTACTAAAAATACAAAACATTAGCTGGGCATGGTGGCACGTGCCTGTAATCCCAGCTACTCAGGAGGCTGAGGCAGGAGAATTGCCTGAACCCAGGAGGCGGAGGTTGCGGTGAGCCGAGATCGCGCCATTGCACTCCAGCCTGGGTAACAAGAGTGAAACTCCGTCTCAAAAAAAAAAAAAAAAAAAAAAAAATTAGCCGAGTGCAGTGTTGGGTATCTGTAATTGCAGCTACTCTGGAGGCTGAGGCAGGAGAATTGCCTGAATCCGGGAGGTGGAGGTTGCAGTGAGCCAGGATCATGCCACTGCATGTTAGTTTGGGTGAGCAAGACAGAGCAAGATTTCATCTCAAAAAACAAAAGAGGCCAGGTGCGGTGGCTCACACCTGTAATCCCAGCACTTTCGGAGGCCGAGGCGGGCAGATCACTTGAGGTTAGGAGTTCGAGACCAGCCTGGCCAACGTGGTAAAACCCCATCTGTACTAAAAATATAAAAATGTGCTGGGTGTGGTAGCGTGTGCCTGTAATCCCAGCTACTCAGGAGGGTGAGGCAGGAGACTCGCTTGAACCCGGGAGGCGGAGGTTGCGGTGAGCCAGGATCGTGCCATTATACTCCAGTCTGGGTGATAAAGCAAAACTTAGTCTCAAAAAAAAAAAAAAGTGGAAGGGTGGCGTGGGTCACACTGGCAGAGTCTGTAGCTGAGTGTACTGCCGGGCCTCTCTGCCCTGGCCTCCACTGGCAGGCGCTCACACCCGCCCCCATCCGGAATGGGGCACCTGAGTGCCCCCAGCCTGAGGTGCCTTGTGTGAAGCCCGGGCTCTCACCTCACTACCCTGGGCTGGCTCCATGTCACCTCATTCATGTTGCCTTTGGGGCCGTTGCCAAATTTGACGTGGTGACCTGTTTAACATGTCAGTGTCCAGGGAAGAGCAAGGTCCACGATAACAACTTATCAAGGCTGTACACGTGGGTACGGTGGCCCTGGGGAGTGTTTGCCAGCTGCGAAAGCCACCTGGCAGGCAGGTGGGCGGGAGCTGGCAGGAGCTGGGGCTCCCTCAGGCTGCTTCTCTGGGTGATGTCGTATTTGCCACACAGCAACCTGGTGGCCCTGCCCGTTGCCTTCAGAGAGAGCCTACCGTGACCCTGGCTGTTTCTGTCTCCAGGTACGACGAAGAACTGGCCCAGGGCGACGGGGCGGAGCGGGAGCTGAGAAGTCGTCAGGGCCAGTCTCAGGGGCCCAGAGCAGGCCGGTCGAGAGACGCGGGGAGAGCCGTCCTCACCACCTGGAAGTGACTCCAACCTTGCCGAAGCGGCCCAGTCCCCTGGGGCCCCGCTGAAGCCCTGTTTTGGAGTTTTCCTTTTCTAGAGCTTTTTTCCTTTCCTGAGCCCTGTAAATAAATGAAAGCACGTCTTTGGAAGCTTATGGAGTCAGTTTCACTAGTGCTGAAGGAACCAGTTCATGCAGATGTGTAAACTTGCTTTTTTAAAAAAAAAAATTTTAACCTAAGCAGAATTACCATATTGAAAAACTCACCTTTTTTTTGGCAGAAAGTAACAGCTTCAGCGTGTAATTTAATGTGTCATAAGGTTTAAACACTTAAAAAACTAGGGGCCAGGTGCAGTTGGCTCACACCTTTAATCCCAGCACTCTGGGAGGCTGAGGCGGGTGGATCACAGGTCAGGCGTTTGAGACCAGCCTGGCCAACATAGTGAAACCACATCTCTACTAAAAACACAAAAACTTAGCCAGGCGTGGTGGCGGCGCCTGTAATCCCAGCTACTCGGGAGGCTGAGGCAGGAGAATCGCTTGAACCTGGGAGGCAGAGGTTGCAGTGAGCTGAGATCGCAACACTGCACCCAAGCCCAGGTGACAGTGGGAGACTCCATCTAAAAAAAAAAAAAATTTTTTTTTAAAAACTTAAAAACAAAACAAAATCTTAAAAAAAAAAAAATCTTACAGACTAACCCTTTCATAAGAAAGGAATATAACTGACAGATCTTTTAGTTCCATTTCTTTTTACTTGACTGTGATTTTTTTTTTTTTTTTTTTAAGACAGAATCTCACTCCGTTGCCCTGTCTGAAGTGCAGTCTCGGCTCAGTGCAACCTCCGCCTGCCGGGTTCCAGCAATTCTCCAGCTGCCCAGACACCCAAGTAGCTGTGATTACAGGCGAGTGCCCCCACACCTGGCTAATTGTTGTGTTTTCAGTAGAGACTAAATCCTCCTGCCTAAGCCTCCCAACGTGTTGGGATTACAGGCGTGAGCCACCACGCCTGGCCTCAGAAAGACCTGTTTTTGTCACTTCAGTTTTGTGGATGAGTCTGTTGTAAATGGAAACAGACGAGCCCAGACAGGTCCGGCTATGTGCCTTTTATGAAGTCAGCAGCTGGGTTTGCTGCAGGGAAATGCGGCGGGCAGCCAGGAAGTGTGGGACGGGCCGTGGCTGCAGTACGGGCTGCGTGAGTGTGGCGTAACCATCCCGTCTCCCTGTGGCCCAGTGACTTGCAGGAGTTATGGAGAAAACCCGAGTCACTGGGTAGATGAACAGATGCATCTGACTAACTCACGAGTTACAGTGCTGTTCTTAGGACGGGTCTTTTTTTTTTTTTTTTTGCGATGGAGTTTCACTCTTGTTACCCAGGCTGGAGTGCAATGGCGAGATCTCACCTCACTGCAATCTCCACCTCCTGGGTTCAGGCGATTCTCCTGCCTCAGCTTCCAGAGTAGCTGGGATAACAGGCTCGTGCCACCATGCCTGGCTAATTTTTTGTATTTTTAGTAGAGACGGGGTTTCACCATGTTGACCAGGCTGGTCTTGAACTCCTGACCTCAGGTGATACTCCCCCCTTGGCCTCCCAAAGTGCTAGAATTACAGGCGTGAGCCACTGCACGCAGCCAGGAAGGGCCTTTTATTCATGGTAAAAGTTTGTATTAACACGTATTTGCTGAAGCTTCGCCGGCTGTCTTGAGTGCTACCTGTTTTTGTTTCGATGTTAGTGACAGCAGTTTCTCCTCCCAAATGGCGCCAAGGGTGTGTCCTTCAGATAAAGGTCTTCCCTGACCCTTGCCCAAGGTCTCTCAGTATCCGCACGTGGACACGTGTCACAGGTACATGCTGTGTCGTGTTTGTGCATATGTGCACATATATTTAATGATGTTTCACTGCCTATCAGGGAAGAAGAGGGCTTTGGACCCATGGGTAGAACAGAAAGTGACGGAAACATCGTCCAAATGGTACTTGGCAAGACTCCAAGTAGGCTGCCACTGGGGGACTTCTCAGCCGTTCCTTCTTCGTGACCTGATTGGTATGTGTGTGGTGTGTTCCCTGCTGCTTAGGTGGGTTTTTTTTTTTTGTTTTTTTTTTTTGAGTTGGAGTCTTGCCCTGTCACCCAGGCTGGAGTGCAGTGTTGCGATCTCAGCTCACTGCAACCTCTGCCTCCCAGGTTCAAGCGATTCTCCTGCCGCAGCCTCCCGAGTAGCTGGAATTACAGATGTGCGTCATCATGCCTGGCTAATTTTTGTATTTTCAGTAGCGACAGGGTTTCACCACGTTGGCCAGGCTGGTCTCCAACTCCCAACCTTAGCTGATCCGCCTGCCTTGGCCTCCCAAACTGCTGGATTACAGGCGTGAGCCACCGTGCCCAGACATGGTATTTAGTTTTAATGCGTTTGCTATTGTTGGCGGGTGTGGGATGGAGCCCCTGAGTCAGACCTGGCCTTTCAGCCTGGCTCTGCTGTTTATTCGCTGTTTCCCAAGCTTATCTTCCCAAGCTTGTCCCCAGGCTCATTGCACCTTTGCTTCCCACTGTATGAAATAGGGAGTTTTTCAGAGGATGTATAAAAAAAAAAACAAAAAAAAAAAGGAAGTTATGTAGCCGGGCGTGTTGGCTCATGCCTGTAATCCCAGCACTCTGCGAGGCCGAGGCGATGGATCACCTGAAGTAAGGAGTTCGAAACCAGCCTGGCCAACACAGTGAAACCCTGTCTCTCTAAAAATACAAAAAATTAGCCAGGTATGGCAGTGAGTGCCTGTAGTCCCAGCTACTCAGGAGGCTGATGCAGGAGCATTGCTTGAACCCAGGAGGTGGAGGTTGCAGTGAGCCAAGATTGAGCCATTGCACTCCAGCCTGGGCAATAAAAGTGAAACTCAGTCTCAGCCGGGCGCGGTGGCTCAAACCTGTAGTCCCAGCACTTTGGGAGGCCGAGACGGGCTGATCACGAAGTCAAGAGATCGAGACCATCCTGGCCAACATAGTGAAACCCTGTGTCTACTAAAAATATAAAAAATTTAGCTGGGCATGGTGGCGCGTGCCTGTAATCCCAGCTACTCGGGAGGCTGAGGCAGGAGAATTGTTTGAACACGGCAGGCGGAGGTTGCAGTGAGCCGAGACTGCATCATTGCACTCCAGTGTGGCGCCTGACGACAGAGCGAGACTCTGTCTCAAAAAAAAAAGTGAAATTCAGTCTCAAAAAAAGAAAAAAGGCCAGGCACGGTGGCTCACACCTATAATCCCAGCACTTCGGGAGGACAAGGCAGGCTGATCACAAGGTCAGGAGTTCAAGACCAGCCTGGCCAACATGGTGAAACCCCTTCTCTACTAAAAATAAAAAAACTGAGCTGTGCATGGTGGCGCGTGCCTATAATCCCAGCTACTTGAGAGGCTGAGGCAGGAGAATCGCTTGAACCCGGGAGGCGGAGGTTGCAGTGAGCCAAGACTGCACCACACTGCACTCCAGCCTGCGCTATAGAGCGAGACTTCGTCTCAAAAAAAAAGAAAAAGAAAAAAGAGGGGGTTCTGTTTGCTTCCGTGACAACTGCACATGGACCCTGCCCGCCCGCCTCGCTGGCTCTGGCTCTGGCCCTCCGACCCAAGGAGGCGGTTCCCCTGCACAGCTGGCACAGCTCCTGCCCCTGAGGTAAAACAGACCCTGTTCACCGATCTTGGCTCTTGCATGGGTTTTTACAACCCGGTTCTCAGTTACGATGTTTTGTTTTTGCCTCTCCCTGGGAGAAGGGTTAAGTCCCTCGTTGGGTACATTGGCCTCTGAGGCTCCCGGGGCCACGTGGTCCTAATGGAGTCACACCAAGTGGTTAGTTTGTGGGTGACCCAGTTGCTAGGTGAGGGTGAGGCTCCGCTAAGTGGATTTATGTCATCTAGTGACTGTCTCATTAGTGACATCATGTTCTGGGCAGTTGCTTCCTGAGCACTTCCAGGACATGGCTGGGAAGGGTGCTGGCAGCCGTGGGGAGGCTGTCAGGCCGGGAACAGCTCTGCTCAGCGCTGGGCTGGGCCCCAGCCGCGAGCCCTGCTGGGAGCTGTCCAGGAACTGTTTCTGTTTTCTTGCCAGCCCCACCCACTTGATGGGGTGGGTCCCAGGCCAGAGGGTTGTACCCTGTGGTCATTTTCACAAAGTTTGATATGCTAGGTTTTTCCCAATATAAAACCATGCTTGGCCGGGCGCAGTGGCTCACGCCTGTAGCCCTGCACTTCGGGAGGCCGAGGCAGGTGGATCACCTGAGATCAGGAGGTTGAGACCAGCCTGGCCAACATGGTGAAACCTCGTCTCTGCTAAAAATACAAAAATTGGCCGGGCGCAGTAGCTCATGTCTGTAATCCCAGCACTTTGGGAGGCCCAGACGGGCGGATCCTGAGGTCAGGAGATCGAGATTATCCTGGCTAGCATGGTGAAACCCGTCTCTACTGAAAATACAAAAAATTATCTGGGCATGGTGCCACGCACCCATGGTCCCAGCTATTTGGCAGGCCGAGGCAGGAGAGTCACTTGAACCTGGGAGGTAGAGGTTGCAGTGAGCCGAGATTGTACCACCGCACTCTAGCCTGGGTGACAGAGTGAGACTCTGTCTCAAAAAAATACGTATATATAAAAATTAGCTGTGAGTGGTGGTGCGTGCCTGTAGTCCCACCTACTTGGGAGGCTGAGGCAGGAGAATCACTTGAACCCGAGAGGTGGAGGCTGCAGTGAGCCGAGATTGTGCCAGTGGAGCAAGACTCCATCTCAAAACTGACAAACCACGAGGGCTGCTCCCAGGGCATTACTGAGGGCGTGGTGACAGCTTCCTCACGGTCCCGATTCTCCTCCTCCGCCTCCCGTCAGGGCTCCTGTGGAGTCCGAAGCCGTCTGGACTGCATTTGGTTGGGCTTCACCTGCCGCTGGAAATTTCCTCACGGGGCCATTTCCCCTCCACACAGTGGTTCCTCAGGGTGTTCCATGAAGTCTCCTGTTCTCGGGAGGGTCCAGGGTGCTACCAGGCCTGCCTGCCCACTGGTCTTTTGGCTCCGCTCACACTGCCACACACCGCATCCACCAGCGCCAAAGTCACGCAACTCCTGAGTTCCCCCAGGGGCCAGCACCCTCCCCCTTCTCCTCAGCCATTCCCAGCAGCACTGCAGCCCCGCAGCC